TTTATTGTGCTGAAAATCAGTCGCTTTCTTGGATTTTGTTTTTTGGGTTTTTTTTAAGACAAACATGTTGAAAGAAAAACAAGTTAAAACATTTTGATTTCTATTAAATGAGAAAAATTAGATGTAATTATAGAGAAGTTATCCATAAAAAGTATTACGTGTTCAGGTTTGTGCTTCAAGCTTTTGTGAAAAACTGCGTCTTTCATTCAGGTTTTAGTACGTTGTATAAGCACGGTAAAACAATATTTCATCCTGTGATGAAACTTCCATACTGATGCTGATTTTTTTAAGATTTCATGTCTTTCCCAAGCATCTGCTAATGAATACAAATTACTAAAAACATGAACAGCCTTATTACACAGTCCTGTAAACACTTAGCACTTGTCTATATGGCAACTGAGTTGAGATTCCTGTTGGCAAGCATGGATGAAAGAATGCTCTGCAGATATGCTATGCTGGCAGCTGCAAATAGGCAAAGGCTGTTTGTGCTTTATATAAGCTGTTGGCATTGGGTGTCTTTGGTTTTGGGCTTCATCAAGCAGATGGTGTGGTTACAACAGTGGCTTCTCCAGAAGCAGCAGGGGATGGAGGAGGTGCAGGGACATCAATGAGGAACTGCTACTACACAAGCTTTTTCCTGGAGCAGCTTCACACAGTGGAGTGCCATTTCTGGACCCGGGAAACCAGCATCGATTGGTGGCAGAGAATCGTTCCTCAAACTTGGGATGACCAGCAGTGGCGACAGAATTTCAGGGTGGTGACGGCAGCTTTTTGGAGATCTGTGCTGAATTGACCCTGGAGCTACAGTAGTAGCATGCCAACATGTGGTGTCCCATACCGGTTGAGAAGATGTCGCCATTGCCATCTGGAAGACAGCCACTCCTCACGTTAACTGATCCACTGCCAACCATTTCAGGATGAGGAGATTGACTGGTGGGGCCATTGTTGTGAAGGTGTGTGCTGCTGTGCAGAGGAATTGTTGAACCAAGGTATACAGCTTGGTGCTCAGGAGATTATTGATGGCTTTGCACATGTGGGGTTCCCAAACTGTATTGGGGCAATTGATGGGAGCCATGTGCATATCTTTTCCCTGCCGCATCAGACGTTGGAGGTTATAAACAGAAAAGACTATTTCTCCAAGGCCTGGTCAACTGCCATGGCAGATTTACAAACATAAATACTGGGTGTTTTGGAAAGGTCCACAATGCTAGGATCTTTCAGAACTCACATCAGGTTACCTTTAATGAATAATGGAAAGTTTGCCCCCAGGATCACAATAGACAATAATGGTATAGAGATTGCTCCAGTTTTTGGGAGAGACCTCGGCTTATTATCTGCTTCTCTAGCTTATGAAGCTGCTCACAGGCCATTGCAGAGAAGAAAAGGAACAGTTTAACTATCACCTCAGTCGTTGCAGAATGACAGTGGAGTGTGCGTTGGGCAGGCACAAAGCTATATGGTGCTGTCTTTATGACTGGGTTAGAAGCTGCAGAACAAAACTTGCCTAGGATAATAGCTATGGGTTGTATTTTTCACAATATTTGTGGATGGGAGAAAGTCTTAACAATGAGTGGGAGGTGGAGGTACAGAGATTTGCTGAACGCCATGAGCAACCATTAAGGCATCCACTGAAAACTGTAAACCACCAGGTTAATGTTGTCAGAGATGCTTTTTGTTTGTACTTGGAGTTTGGTGCCTGAAGATGTGCAGTTGTTATCCATGTTGTGAGCACTGGAGTTGCTTTTTTGAGTGGTAAAAGTGGCATGTTGTTGCACTTTTTATCTTGAGCCTATATTGTTGTTATTTTGTAAGACCACATTACCTATGAAAATTTGTACTTATTGTGTACCATGCCTGTATTGCAGATTCTTTGTAATTTTCAATTTTTTTATTGCTCAATATATGCCAGTACATAACTGCCAAGAATAAAATACATTACCCATTTTGCTAACAATTGTAATAAACAGATTTAAATTGAAAAAGTTCAAAATTCAAATATAGTATGGTGGATGGGGGCAATTCCTATTCACAGATGAGTGAACAACTTGCCTTTGCTACTTCTTGTCCTTCTGAGATTGAGTGTTAGGGCTCAACATTGCCAAGTAGATTGGATAGCTTGAGTATGCTGAACTTCCACATGATGGTGCTCTCACTGCCCTATGCTTGTGCTGGGCGGGGAATGACCCTGGGAGCACAGGTGCAGGGCTACGGCAGGGAACATCTGCTGGTGTTCCCAATACCCTGTGTTATCCAGAGGCTGGGGTAGGGCTATGATCACTGGGCAGGAGAGATGTAGGGAGAGAGAAGGGAATTAGTAGTGCCCCCATTTCATGGCACGGCATGGGTTTAAAAAGAGCCGACGACTGGGGCCTCAGGATGTGACAGATTGCCTAGCTGGCCCAGTTGCCATTTTGTAAATGTTTGGGGGGGGACAGAATGAAGGGGACAGGTTTGGAAGAGGGAGTATGGCTGGGTGATGGGACGAAAAACTCAGAAAGGCCCCCAGGTCACATCCGCCCATGGGGCACTTTTGGGAAAAAAAATTAGTACAGCAGTATAACATAACAACAACAGCATGGACGATTACTTACATGCCGAGGTCCCTTTGATAGGCTCTGTAGGTTCTTCTTCATGTGTCCAAAACTGGGAATTTGGGCTGGCTTCCTTTATGGTCACTCTCTGGGTCCCAAGTTCTGAAGAGATCCTGGCTGTTCAGGGAGATAGCTTCTCTGTCCTCCTCATTGTTCCTGCAAGGCCGTTGGGTTCTGTCGTGTCATGTAGCTAAAAATGCCTTTCCACATCCTTAAAAAACAGACAGGTCAAATGGCCAATAATGGATATTCTTCTATCATCCTTGCTGTCTTTATACGTTTGCCTTAGCTGTTTGGTTTTTATACAGCACTAAGAGGCATCCCGGTAGTGACCCTTTTCAACTATCTGTTTTAAGATTTCCTCTAACAGTTTCTTATTGTGGTGGCTGGCCACAAAAGCTGCCTGCACCCTCATTTCTCCCCAGATGGCTAGATTATCGAGGGTCTCACCACAGCTCCAAGCAGCTGCTTGAGGACTATTGTAAAGCTGCTGGTGGACTGTCAAAGTTGTCTGCAGCAGCATTCTGTCTACCGAACAATAATCTGCACTAACTTAATTCGCATCAAACTTAGTACACTTAGGTAACAGGGATCCAGAACTTGCACCAACTAGGGAGAGGGTGTGCTTTAAAGGTTTGCATCATATGTACACAGGCTTTTTCAATCCTCACTAATACAAGTTAGTATGGACTAAAGTGCCCATGCAGACAAGCCATTATTTTTAAGTGTAGTTCTTGCTACTGCCAGTAGAGCCCGAAAACTTCAATGAGACTACTCACAGAAGTGTGAACTAATAGTGGTTGCACAACTGGATCCACAGATAGGAAGTGGAACACAACATTTATATATCAGATTTAAGTGTACTCCACTGTTATATTCATTCTTATACATTGAATGCAAATGAAAATTGTCACCTTTTGTATGGAACTTTCAAATTTTAAAGTTGTCTTTTGTACCGATTCAAAAATAGCAGTTTTGCATAGAAATTCTCTCTTCTGAGTGGAAGTAGAAATTAATGGAGTGGTGGGGGGGGGGCTTCATCTAAAATGTTACAATCAATAGGCACGCTTAAGTATATAAAGTCAAATGGCATCCAGTTCAGCATGTTGTGAGGTAGAAAAGTATCTGACTTGTCAGTGAAGAACATTGTTTTACAACTGGTAAACCTGTACGTATGCCCGGTTTGTTTTGTCTTTTTTCAGTAGAGTAAAACAATTGAACTATATTCCCTGTAAGATTCTATTTTGGCTAGCCTAAAATTTCATGTTTTCTGACATCTTCCATACTAATTCCCACTTCAGTGACACCTACTAATAAGATCAGAGTTGATCGACTCCAGGCTTTCCTGCCCCTGAGTATGCCAACAAGATACCAATGACTCCAGAACATGCTGATAGTTTCACACCATTGGGAATGTTATTAAATGGAGAACTACCAGTATGGTCAAGATTTCAAATCAACAGTAGAAAGAAAAAGTTGGCTTGAAGAGCAGCATTAGAGTTTAATCTAAGAAAAGGCTTGGCAGAATTCAGTTTTTATGTTTTATAATTTTGACAGGTAATATCCATTTTATATAAGCATTTTTTCAATTTTATCATTTAAGTTTTCATGGTTGTGAGAAATTAAGGGAGTCAGATAATATTTATTTAATGACCATAGATGTTGAGATGCAAAAAGTTAAAGCTTTATAAGCATTAAAATACAAACTGTCAAAATCACATCATAATACACAGAATAAATATTCTTAAATCAAACCCTAAGTTCTCAAGCAGCATTTTTCTGACTTTGTCTATTGGTAAATTTTGATTATCAATGGAAACATTTTGTCATGGGTTTGTCTGTATGGTGAAATCTGGGTTTACCAACATTTACCAATAAAAATCTAAGCCTTCCAAGCCTATTTATGAATGAGAAAGCATGTTCAGTTTAAAGTGGAACAGGAGGACTGATGCATTCCCTGTTTAATCTTAAAGGTTGCGATCCTGTAGAATGCATTCCCTGAACGTACTGTAGGAGTTTTCAATGCAAAAATAGAAATAGACTTATAATCATGCTGACCATAGGCATTAAAAGGAAAGTCCATAGTGACTAATAGGAAAACTTGAAAAACACTCTCAGTTTCTGGAAAGATTATATTTAACTCATCTCGGAAGGTGCATCAAATAGAAACAAGACAAAAGAACTCAATACTAGAAATAAAAGACCATCAGACAACATTGATATGAGAACATTTAAATTTGAAAATAAAAGTGGTTACCCTGGAATATAAAGTAGTAGTAAACTCATTTTTGCATTTTCTGACCATCTCACAACAGTACATTTTGCCAGGGATATTGTAATTACCATTTCTAATGTCACTTCTTCTTTCACTCAGCAAGTTTGAACTATGATTTGTTTGGGTTTTTTTAGGTTGTCACATGTACTTCAGTTTGAGGACAGAAGCAGAAAAGTGAAAGATGCAAGCATGCAGGATGAAGACACTTTTGAAATCTATGATCCTCGGAATCCTGTAAATAAGAGGAGAAGAGAACAAAGCAAAAAGATAATGCGGGAGAAAAAAGAAAGGAGATGAAATGAATGTAAAGCTATCTAGAGCTGTCTTGGAAAGTGTAATAAAGCATTAGCCCTTTAATAGCTGTGGTTCCTAAAAATATCACTTAACAAGTGTGAAAAGGAATCTCTCAAGAACCTGTTGTCTGATTTTGAAATACAGCTATCGTCTTTGTTTTATGAATTGTGCAGTAAAATAAGCAAGTGCTCTCAGTGCATAATCCAAGCTCTCTTTAAACATTTTTGAAATCTGAATAAATATATAATAGTTTTGGTCATCATTTAAATCAATGTATAGCAATTAAATATTGAGAATAGAATCAGAAGGTATGTTTTCAAGACAGTGAAGGAAAGATATTTGCCAAAATGAAAAGGTTAAGGAATGAAAAAAAAATATTCCCACCAGCTGTACAGGCTTTTTAAGATTTAATTTTTTTTAAATGGTAGGATTAAATCCATTTACAGATGATTGATTTTTTTGTTTAGTTAAGAAATTGGGTTCTTCATTGTATCACAAAGTTCAGAAGATAGATTTAAAAATTCCAGACTTCCAGCACAAAGTGTACAATGTTCCCAGCTCTCTTGAAACTCAATCAAAATTTAATTTGAGGGTGTGGTTAAATTTTCTTCATCTTGAGAAACATATCCAAAAAATTACTTGGAAAGACATGATAATCTACAAGTTTGGAAATGTTATTTCACAAGCTTGAGAACATTTTAGAATCCAAATTTAAATAGCAATTAATATGGAAAAAAGAGCAATAATTTAAATCACATGTTTATAAGAAGCTTAGACTCCCAGAATAAGAGTCGTTATTACAAAGTACCCTTCCTCTAATTTCATCTTCTCTACTGATTTGTCAGTATTGCAGGTTTATTTATTTATCTCAATATTGAGACACAGAAATTGCGAAACTAATCTCAGACTCTTGTTATTAAAGACTTTACATCTAGCATGCAGTGACCTTAAAGCCACCAGAGGAAGCTGCAAATTTAAATAACCGTACATTACTCAGATTTCTCTAGCACATAATGGAAGCGTGTACAAAAGAAAAATATATCTGAAATCCCAGAGAATATGGCATTTTTGGTTGTATAAATTTCTAAGCTACATACACATACAATAAAGCAGTTGGTAACACAACTAAATAAGGGGACAACAAGGTCACTAAAAAGTAAGAGTAGATGAGTGTTTTGCTGCTGTCGTTTTTAGAACAAGTTCAGGAGGGTATAGTGTCCTTATCAAAACGCCACTACCAAGTTTCTTGATAGGGTCTGACGTGTGAGGTACATAAACCTGTCTTGGTGTGTTAATGTGGTCCAAATGGCAGAGGTTAGATTAATGCAAAATATTGCTTAAATGTGCTATGTAATCTCTGAGATAAGAAGAAAAAAACTTGTAGGTGTGAAACAAGTTCCTGGAGAAGGCTGTCAATGTCCTCCTCTTGTTCTGAGTGAATTATATTCTAGCAGGGTGTAGCAGAGTTAAGAGGGGTTACATTCTTAATGTTGTCATTCACCAAAAAAAAAAGTGAGTCAAAGTTCTTTGTGATCTGCTTCAGAATCTGTAAATAATTTTCTGGTGGGCTGTCGTTACTACTTACCAGAAAGCAGAGAACAATTTTCCATCCACAGTCACATACTGAGTCACGTCTATTTATTTATTGCTTTCCTAGGAGAGCCAATAGAAAGTTTTAGAACAATCATTTGTAAAAATGATTATCAAATCCTTTCATTCCACAGGGGGAAAAGAACTAAGCTGACATCCTCTTGCTAATGCAGTGGGTACTGAAAATAATTATAAATAAAAAAAATTACATTATTGAAATAAATAACTGTTTGATTAATACTTATCCAAATTGTTTATACACATTTGATTCAGCTGGAAGAATTGATATTACACTATTTTAAATGAAATCAGTTTCAGTGGCCTTCTTTATAGTGTCATAACTTGTGAACAGTCAAATCTCTGGAATTAAGAAGCAAGTTATATCTTAAGATGGAAAAAGAATGGACATGCACACAGGCATCTGTTTACAATGAATAGAATTCCTGCAGACTATAGCTTTAAATAAAAGCATTAAATAGCAAAACAGAGATCACTGTCAGCCAACTATATGTACTTACAAAGGGTGAAATTCACTCCTCAACGTAATTGAGTTTTGTATGGAAAACTACATGGGAGGAAGAGTACATGCTAACATTATCCCACAGGGAGAACGCTGCAATACTACAATGGCTATTCCCTCCTATAGGCCTGCAAATCCTGAGCCTCTGTTCTTTTGTCCATTCCACCCCTAATAGCCTCATCTGGGGCATCTATTTTACTCAGAGATGGCACCAGGACCTCTTAGGCCTTGTCTAGACTAAGATAAAAGGTATGATGGTAGAATGTGTTAACTAATACATATTAGTAACTAGTTTTAAAAATCTAATGCAGTTAAGGCATTCTGCTTTTAATATGTGCTAAACTGATCAAGCTAAAGCCTACTGGGGAGCCTAGATTTTAAACTTGAGCAGTTATATCATGTTGAAGTATACAGTGCCTTGTCTACACTAGACTTTTAAAACATGTTAGAACATTTAATTATATTATCAATTCACCTTGTTCTAAGGTGATTTTTTGCTTTATTCACTTTGAATTAAATTCCACTGGTAATATTGGATTTTCTTTCAGACAGTTTACATATATTAAGTCAATCTTTTTGAACTTTGTCACCAATTCTAAAAAGAATTAATAAGACTGTAAATTATCCCATAATCACTACTGAGTCAAACAAGGAAGGGATGTATACGCTAACTTTTTTATTGCCATAAGGCAACAGTCTTCTAGTGATCATGAAAGTATGCTACAGGCCTTTATTGAAAGCCAAAAGGAGACTCTTACCCAGAGATAATTTCTTCTCTGTTGAGCTGAGATAGAAGTCTGGTCTCCTTCTACATCTCTTGGACAGTATTCCTTTACTATTTTTTAAATATTGGCTAAGATCATGACATTAATATATATTATAGTCAATAACAATCTCACCAAAAATTATGTTCATGGTATAGGCCAAATAAATATTTTTTTTGTGGTAGATTCTTCCATAGTGCAGGAGCCACAACAAAAATCATTTAGAGTTTTATTATCCTCAGACACTTTGCAGATGGTTACAATAATCTGCATATAAAAATGCGGGAAAGTAATTTAACTGCCTAAGGACTTACCCATCATTGGTACTGTGAACAGAATGGATATAGGCCCTAATTTTGCAATTGAATCTGCTCCTGTGAGGAACCACATTGAATTCTACCCATGTGGATCTAGTGGGAGCATCAGGGACATAGTTTGAAGCTTGTAAGGTAACTATGATGATTGTAAAAGAACTATACAATATAGTGAACACTATTTTTATGAAAAGTAACATTTAATACAGCTTTGTAAATCAATAACAATTTGCTATTTACAGTGAAAACTGTCACACTACAGTAACTTTTTTTCAAAATATTGTAGTCCAAGGGTCGGCAACCTTCGACACGCAGCCCATCAGGGTAATCCACTGGCGGGCTATGAGACAGTTTGTTTACATTGACCGTCCACAGGCACGCCCCCAGCAGCTCCCAGTGGCCGCGGTTTGCCGTTCCCGGCCAATGGGAGCTGCAGGAAGCGGTGTGGGCCGCAGGGATAGAGAAACGTAGAAGTCAGAAACAGTCTGAGCAGTTTGGTCCTGTCAATATAATAAAGCAAAGTCCCGGGCACATCAAGTGTGTGCAGTTTCTTTTCTGTATGTGCCAAATGATTTCAGAAAGATGACAGTTAGGCTGATAGATTTGATGAAACTTATCTGGGGGACGAATTTCAGGTAAGGACTTAGGACCACCTTATCTCTATGAAATGACGTGTAAGGAGTTCATCCATAAGTTTCTGAAGCTCACTCACTCTTCTGGCCAAAGCGATAGCCACAAGGAAGACAGTGTTAAAAGTGAGGTGTTGCAAAGAGCATTTTGAGGGAGGTTTAAGGGGAGGCTCCATGAACCTTAAGAGGACTAGGCTGAGGTCCCAGCATCTCCGACCAGTGAGTAAGTATGTAATAATAGTCCTTTGAGGAACTCTAATACAGTGGAGTGAGAAACAACTGAGCATAACTGCCAATGGATGACAAGCTGGAATTTCTGCAAGGTGGACCGAACATAAATGAGTGAAAGGCCAGACTGTTTCAAGAGCAATGAACAGACAAAGATCTTCAATACAGAGGGCCGGACAGGGTCCGAGCCATGTTGCGCTGCCTATATCAAAGACCTCTTCCATTTAGATGAATGTATCTTTTTGGTCAATGTTTCCTGCTCTCTCTCAGGATTTTCTGAACCTGAAAGGTGCAGTTCTCATCCCTGGTCCTTAATCAACCAAGAGCCATGCTGTCTGCGACAGTGACTTTGAGTCTAGAGAGAGTATCTGGCCATAGTTTTAGGAGAGCAGGTCCAGGCAGTCTGGGAGCTGGATCAGCAGCTGAATGAATACCTGTAGCAGGTCAGTCAGCCAAAACTACTTCAGCCAGTATGGTGTAATGAGAATCATCGTGGCTTTGGCTCTTCTGATTTTGGAAATTATCCTTGGGATAAGGGGAAAAATCAGTGAAAAGTCATATAGGAGGTTTGGGACCACTGCAGAAGGAAGCATCCATTAGCAAATTTGAGCTCACACTCCTTCTAACACTTGACAGCGAACAAGTATATCACAGGGTATCCCAATAAAGGAATATCAGCTGTATAATGGACCTCAGGATGTTGAGGTGGAACTTCATGTCTTCTAGTGACTCAGTCCCTTGCCACTCTGTAAGTGGTCCAAGTAGGCTCCCCGACCTGTCTGACACACCTGTGATCGAAGTCCTTGTCAGGAAGGGGGCAGAAAATAGTATTCCATACACCTTTATCAGTTCATTCCACCATCTCAGCATCATTTCAGTTCTGCAATGATGTGAGTTGGAATCATGACCTTCTTGCTCATTTGATGTTTTGCCAGCGAAAAAAGAGATCTGAGCCAGAACTGGAATAGTTTCAGGTGAAGTCAGGTAAATGGTACCACATACATGCACACCAACATATGGCCTAGTAGTCCAAGACACATCCATAACATTGTTGTCAGGTTTGATTCTATCCTGAGCACTAGCAATTGCATCAACAGGGACCTGTCTTCAGGAGGATACATTCTCATTGTCCTGGAGTTGATCAGGTCTCCTATGAACTCTATTGATCTTCAGTGGGATAAGATCATTTTTACATAAGAGCATAAGAACAGCCATACTGGATC